GTGAGACGGTATCTCATTGTGGTTTTGATTTGCATTTCTCTCACAATCAGTGACACTGAACATTTTTTCATATGTTCATTGACCACTGGTATGTTGTCTTTTGAGAAGTGTCTGCCCGTGTCCTTTGCCCAATTTTTAATCTGGTTATTTATTTATTTTTTTGCGTATTGAATTAAGTTCCTTATAGATTCTGAATATTAGATCTTTGGTAATATTTTCTCTCACTCTGTAGACAACCTGTTTACTCTGTTAATAGTTTTTTTTTTTTCTTTATGCAGAAGCTCCTTAGTTTAATTAGGTCCTACTTGTCAGTATTTTTTTGTTGTTGCAATTTGTTTTTGTTGCTTTTGAGTACTTAGCCATAAATTATTTGCCAAGGCCAACATACAGAAGGATATTTCATAGGTTCTTTTCTAGGATTTTTATAGTTTGAGGTCTTACATTTTAAGCTTTATTCAATCTTAAATTAAATTTTGTATATGGTAAAATGTAAGGGTCCAGTTTCATTCTTCTGCATATTGCTAGCCAGTTATCTCAGCATTATTATTGAGTAGGGAGCCCTTTCTTCATTTCTTATTTTTGTCAACTTTGTTGAAGATGAGATGGCAGTAGGTATGTGGCTTTATTTCTGGGTTCTTTATCCTGTTCCATGGTCTTAGGTGTCTGTTTTTGTACCAGTACCATGCTGCTTTGGTTATTGCAGCCTTGTAGTGTAGTTTGAAGTTGGGTAATGTGATGCCTCTGGCTTTGTTCCTTCTGTTTAGGATTACTTTGTCGATTCAGGCTCTTTTTGTTCCATATGAATTTTACATTACTTTTTCTAATTCTCTGAAAAAATGATGTTTGTAGCTTGATATAAATAGCATTGAATCTGTAGATTGATTTGGGCAGTATGACCATTTTAACGATATTGATTCTTCTGATCCATGAGTGTGGAATGTTTTTCCATTTGTTTGTGTCATCTATGATTTCTTTCACCAGCGTTTTGTAGTTTTCCTTGTAGAGATCTTTTACTTCTTTGGTTAGATGTATTCCTAGGCATTTCATTTTTTTGTAGCTATTGTAAATGGGATTGTGTTCTTGATGGAGCTCTCACTTTGCATAGAAATGCTACTGATTTTTGTACATTGACTTTGTATTCTCAAACTTTGCTGAAGATCAGTTCTAGGAATCTTTTGGCACAGTCTTTAGGGTTTTCTAGGTATACAATGATATCATCAGCAATGAGAGACGATTGGACTTCTTTTCCTATTTGGATGCCTCTTATTTCTTTCTCTTGCCTGGGTGCTCTGGCAAGGACTTGTAGTACTATATTGAACAGGAATGATGAGAGTCAACATGCTTGTCTCGTTCCTGCTCTTAAGCAGAATGCTTCAAGCTTTTGCCCTTTAAGTATGGGCAAAAAAATAATAAGTGCCATCTATGACAAACCAACAGCCAAGCTTTTGCCCTTGGCTGTTGGTTTGTCATAGATGGCACTTATTATTTTCAGGTATGTCCCTTCACTGCCTAGTTTGTTGAGGGTTTTTATCATGAAGGGATGTTGGATTTTATCAAAACCTTTTTTTCTACATCTACTAAGATGATCATATGGTTGATATGTATATATTGAACCAACCTTGCTTCCCAGGAATAAAGCATGCTTTATTGTGATAGATTAAATTGTGTTATACCACTGGATTTGGGTTGCTAGTATTTTGTCGAGGATTTTTGCAGCTAACATTTTTCCTTACCATGTACCAGACACTGGACTCAACATTTCCCATGCACCAGCACCTCTAATTCTCCTATGTCACTATGAGGCAAAGGGTGATACCCCTTCCATTATGAATAGCAAACTACGCCTTGGAGAAATTAAATATTTTGTCCACAGTTTTTCAGATTATATATGGTAGAGTTGAGATCTGAACGCAATGCTAAAGCCAGTGTGCTGCATATAGATTTTCAGTTACTTGTAGACAGAGACCGTACCTGACCTTTCTTTCTTTGACTTTATCACATGCCCTCCTGACAATAACGTTTGCCTAATTCATTCATGGTATTTTAAAAATATATGAAATAAGATAGAAAAAGCATTGCAATATATAACAAATATACAACAAGCAAAAGAAATAGGGTACTAAAGTGTATATAGATCATGATTACAAAACTTTTTAAAAGAAAGAAAAGTATATGTAGAGTCTAGAAAAAGATTTACCAAAATACTATTGATGGCTATGGAATTATGGGTTCTTTTTTCCTTCTTTTTATTTTTGTCATCTCTCTTTCTGTATTTTTCATCTTTAAATAAAAGTGATGGTAACAAAAGTTTTAAATTATCAGTAAAAAGGAAAAAAATGAGAAAGTTCTTATATTGTAGTTAGCAATTAGAATCATAAAAACATCCCCTGAGGGACCAACAATCTATTTAAAGAGGCAAAGCATAAAGTTACAAGAGGAGCCCAAGGGTACATAGGAACAAGCTAATGTAGCCCACATCCATAGGGAAACAGAGAAGAGAGAGGTTTTGATTTTTAAGATGCCTATAGAAACAGAAGCAGGCCTAAGGGGCAAATGTCTTGAGTAAATGCGTAAAGGTGGGAATCAGCTAGAAGTGTGTCTGAGAGAGAAATGGGCCATTTTGGGGGATAGACAATGTTTGAAGGGCAAGATGATGATGAAAGCCACCATTTTGGATTCTTGATAAGATGAAGGCTGTGGTAATCTGATAACCTTCAGAAATAGAATAGTAGGGGATGGTCCAGACTCTGAGTGTTGCAGAGTATGGTGTTTGGTTCCTGGTTGGGTGGGAAGGAGAGCAAAGGGTAAGATAGTTATTCCCACCTCTCATCTCCTCTTTCATCCTACAAAGATTCTAGACTGACATTCTTCACTACAGAGCCAACTATATTTTACTTTTCTGCTCAAAATCCTTCAGTGCTTCCCCCTGCCTCTCCAGGCCAGTGCAAAGACTTCAAATGAGCATTGAAGGCCCTTCACATCATGGAGCCAACTTTGCCAGCATTGTTGCCAACTCCTCCCCTATGCTTCCTCAAGCTACAGTCTAATTAAATTACTTGGAGTATCCCCCTCTATGTCTGTTCAAAATTCATCAACTCCCCTCTCTTCCCTCAACACTTCTTGTACCTTCATTCATTTATTCATTCATTCATTCACTAATTTATATCTAGACCTGTATCATATTTATTTGTATACTTTTCTTACCAGCAATCTAGATGGTACTTTGAAAGACTGAGATCAGGTTCTATCTGTTCTTACATCTTAACATCAAGCACAAAAGCTCTATGATCAGTATATGCCCTACAAATATTTTGCTGAGCTGAAGACTGGGATGGCTGGTAAAGACATTGACAGTAAAGAAAAATTTACAAGTAGACACCAAAGGAAAGTAATGAGTTTGACTCTGGCTTGCTAAATTTGGAATAAAAAATGACTTTTAAGGCAAACATGGGCTTAATTCTGCTAAAGTCTAGATTTCTGAAAAAAAAAATCACCTGGTGAAATACGCAGTAAAAATGTGATGAAAAAGGTTATTGCTCAGATAACCTCCTATTCTATACCAGGTATTCATTCACTTATTCATATATTTATTCATTCATTCAATAAACATTGTGTACTACTAAAATCTAGACACTATGGAAAACATTGAGGAAATAGTAAAAATATAAAGGAAAATAAAGTTCTTCTTCTTTGAGAATTTATAATCTACTGGGGTAAAAATCAAGTTTTTAAAAGGGATAGACATAGGTTCCATTTCCAACAATGAGTACCTTATTTATTTTACATCAGTCTCTCACTAAAAACAAACAAAACACTAGAAGAGATACCAGAGACACGTATTTGAGAGTCCTGAGGCATTGAAAATTTGACGGGTCAAGAAACTGGGCAGAAGAGAAACCCATGGAGGTGATTAAGACATTCTGTGCAGATTTTCCACTCAAGGGAATTCCTCAAGGCTGATTCATAAAATAGTGTGGATAGAAGGGCTGGGAAGCCTAGAGAAAAAAAAAGGCTACTAAGAAGCAGAAACTGAGCCAAGCTTTTGGTGGTCTCATGAGACTGGGAAGAAAAACTGAAGTTCGGGGCTATTGAGAGAACAGGGGATAAAGACTCATAGATGTGGCAGAGAAGAGAAGTAGTCCAACAGTCTGAGTGGCTTCACTAATTAGCAAAAGCAGCACAGAGAGAAACTGAACAAAAACCTAGAGCTGAAAAATAGATAAACAGAGCCTTTGAGAGTCTCACAAATAAAAAATGGTATTGAACACTTGTCAAGGAAAAACACCTCTCATGAACACTCAGGTTTTCAGTTAGGGTCCTTTAAGGACTATATCCAAGGAGTAAAGGGAATCAGAAAATGATTGGGGCTTTAAAGACATTTGAAGAAACTCAACGTCTAAATAACTGAATCCTAATTGGATTCAGGAGATTTCTCCCATTCTAATCACTTGCTAGAAGCTAAAGACTCATGTAAAAACCTTCGTGATCTTTATTACACATTGTCTACTATTTAATAAAAAATTAATAAGCATACCAAGAGGTGGAACCAAGAAAGAGATAATAAAAACAGACCTATAGATGATCCAGACATTGTAGTCATTAAATAGGCTTTGCAGTAACTATAATGAACTTATTTAAAACAACAGATACAGTGATTTTCAAAGAACTGGAATTTGAATTGATCTTTGAAGGATACTTTGAATTTCAACTCACCAGGTACTGACTTTACAAAGAACTTAGCATTTGGATGCAATTCACTCTAGCCAAGGCTGGATCACAGGGATGAGGAACAAAGGAAGAAAGGGTGAGGCACATCATCACAGGTAAAGAGAAGAGAGTTTGGGTAGAATTGGGCAGCAAGAGAGGACAAGCATGGCATCCCTTACACATATGGACAATAGGAAATCAAGAGGGTTTTCCTGTTGATTAATATTCCTCATTGATCAGGACTAGATCAAATGCAGGAGGAAAAACAATTCATTGATGTTTATGTATTTTAGGATTTCTTCAGCAAATCTGACCCATTTCTGGAAATTTTTCGTATGAATGATGATGCAACTCAGCAGCTGGTGCACCGAACTGAGGTAAGAAGAGTCATTTTCAGCTATGCCATCTTATCTCCTAAGATGATACATTGACCTGTTTTGAGAAACTCCTTTTATTTCTTAATGGCTATAGATATACACTTAGACCTGAAGTCTTCAGTGTCCTCAGGAAGGTTCTGCTATTTTTAGCTTGGTGTTTTTTTTCACTTTAATCCTTAATTTAGTTGTCAGAAGAGCCTCGCTAACCCCAATTTCTATTGTTGACTTTAAAAACAGATAATTACCAACTTATTCATAGTAAAAGTATAAATAGCTAACATTTAATTAGGATGTCTAGGTGCCAAGTATTAGACTGTTATTTACATACATCATTTTATTTCTCACAAAAATTCCTTATACATCATGATGATGATGATCATAATGACCCTCATTTTACCATTAAAGAAACTGAACTTTAAGGGGGTTAAGTCACTTTCCCAGGTCTCACAACTAGCAAAGGGTTGAGCTGAGGTTTCAATTGAGGTTGTTTGACTCAACTTCAGGGTAATTTGGGAAGTCAATCTGCCTCCCTAGGGAAAGTACATACATTGGACTGATATCAGTCCTATGATATGAATACCTGACCTTTCTTAGCAGCCACTTGGTCTATCTGTATCTCCTTCACACTGTTCCTCTTCTTTCTCCAAGTAGCCCCAACTTTATCTCTTATTACCCTATTACCCACTACCACACACACATTCAACAACTAACCACAATCTCCATTTTTCATTCTATTTTACTTGTAAAGGGATTCTGTAGTAGTAAAGCACATTGATAGGGAGGAAGTGATATATTTGTGCTGAATGACTTGGAGCTGAGAGAAGATCCAGTTATGCTTGCATACCAGTTGCAGGGTAAAAAAAGAAGAAACCCTCAGGACTTTCATAAGGTGATGGAGTAGTTGCCATGTTCCCACAACATCACATTGGAAATCCAGTTTCCTGACGTGACAGAGTTACAGGTATTGTTAGGGGAATGTTTCGCATCCTTGTTATGGTAGACAAAAATTAAATAGTCTTGGATGGGCTAGTTGTGAATATCATCTGATACAAAGTTGATATCTAATAAAATGTGTTTAACAAAAGAATTAATAAATGGTGTTAAACATAAATAGTATGTCTATTGCATGCTATAGAACAATGTAATTCTTTGGAACTTAATCCCTGAAGAATAAATTGAGGTGCAGCTAGCACAGTTGCCCTGAGTGTCATCTCATCACCACCACCAAAAGGAGTTTTTCACCCATTAAGTTTCCTTAGGTGAAACAAACATATTTTAAGGGAAGTGGAGCAAGATGGCCAAATAGAAGCCTCCACTAATCATCCTCTAATCATCCTCCCCATAGTAACACCAAATTAAACAACTCTGCACACACACAAAAAGCACCTTCATAGGAACCAAACATCAGGTAAACAATCCAGTACTTGGTTTTAATATCATATCACTGAAAGAGGCACTGAAGGGCATAGGAAAGACAGTCTTGAATTGCTTAACCACTTCGCCCTCATCCCCTTGGCAGTGGCTGCATGGTGCAGATAGAGAATCTGTGTGCTTGGAGAAGAGACAGTGCAGTGATTATGAGACCTTGCACTGGAACTCAGTGCTGCCCCTTCACAGCAGAAAGCAATACTGGGCATAACTCATCCTGTGCCCGTAGAGGAAGAATTTAAACCAGTCCTAGCCAGAGGGAATCACCCATCTCAGTAGCATAAACCTGAATTCTGGCAAGCCTTGCCACTGCAGGCTGAAGGACTTCGGGGTCCTAAATAAAGCTGAAAGGCAGTCTAAGCCCCAAATACTGCAATTTCTGGGCAAGTACTGGTGCTTTGCTGGGCTCATAGCCAGTGGGCTTGCGGGCATGCAACCTAGTGAGACACCAGCCAAAGTCACCAAGGGAATGCCTGCACCACCACCAGGGAATGCATATCCCACACCCTAGGCAGTGCAGCATACAGGTCCAGGAGGCACTCGTTCCTCCCACTTGAGGAGAGGAGAGGAAAGTGTAAAGAGAACTTTGCCTTGCAACTTGGATATCATCTTAGCTATAATGGAATAGGGCACCAGACAGTCCTTAGGTCCATTCCAGGCCCTAGGTCCCAGATGACATTTCTAGACAAACCCTGGGCCAGAAGGAAGCCTATGGCCTTGAAAGGAAGCAGGATCCATTACCTGCTGACTAAAAATCTCCTGGGCCCCAAATAATCAGCAATTGTTGCCAGGCAGTACTCGCCATGGGCCTTGGGTGAGACACAGAGACATGGTGGCCTTCGATGTGATGTAGTCCATTCCCAGCTATGGTGGTTACTGGGAGAGATTCTTTCTGCTTGAGCAAAGGACATGGAGGAGTAAAGGGGGCTTTGTTTTGCAACTTAGGTACCAGCTCAGTCACAGTGAGGTAAAGCAGCAATTGGGCTCTTGGGATCCCTGACTACAGGCTTTGGCTCTTGGATAGGACTTCCAGGCGTGCTTTGGGTGAGAGGGGAGTCCATTTCCATGAAGAGAGGGTCCTAGACCTGGCAGCATTTACCACAAGCTGACTAAAGAATATTTGGGCCTTGAGTGAACATTGGTGGTAGGCAGGCAGTACTTTCTGTGGTCCTAGGGTGGTGGCAGCCAAGGGAGAAGCTCCTCTGCTTGTGGAAAGGGAAGGGAAGAGTGGGAAAATCTTTGTCTTATGGCTTGGGTGCTAGCTCAAGCACAGTAGAATAGAGCACGAGGTGGAGTCCTAAGGTTTCCGACTCCAGACCCTGGTGCCCAGATGGCATTTCTGAGCCTGCCTAGGACTGGGAGGAACTCACTCCTCTGAAGGGAAGAACACAGCCTGGCTGGTACTGCCATCTCCTGACTGTAGAGTACCTTAAGTAAACATAGGTGGTAACCAAGCAGTGGTTATCCCAGGCCTTGGGTGAGACTCAGTGCTGTGCAAGCTTCACATCTGACTCAGCACAGTCCAGTGGTAGTAGCCACAGGGGTGCTTGTGTCACCCCATCTTCAATTCCAGGCAGCTCATTACAGACAGACTCCATTTGTTTGGGAGAAAGTAAAGGAAGAGGAGAAGAATTTCCACCTGGTAATCCAGGGAATTCTTCCAGTTCTTATCCAAGACCACCATTGTACCTCTACCAGTCTGAAAGAGCCCAGCATCACTGGGCTTGGGATGCCCCCTAATGCAGATACAGTCACAGTGACCAAAAACACCCCACAACACCTAAATCCCTTTGATTACCTGGAAAGCCTTCCCAAGAAGGAGGAATACAAACAAGCCCAGACTGCCAAGACTACAATACATATATAACTCTTCAATGCCCAGATACTGGTGAATACCTACAAGCAGCAAACCATCCACAAAAACACACCCTTAACAAACAAACTAAATAAGGCACCAGAGATCAATCTTGGAACAAAAGAGGTATGTGACCTTTCAGATAGAGAATTCAAATTAGCTATTTTGAGGAAACTTAATGAAATTCAAGATAACACAGAGAAGGAATTCAGAATCCTATCAAATAAATTTAACAAAGTGATTGAAATAATTGTAAGAAATCAGGCAGAAGTTCTAGAGTTGAAAAAGGCAAATGGCATACTAAGCAAGGCATCAGAGTCTCTTAACAGAAGAATTTGTCAAGCAGAACAAAGAATTAGTGAGTCTGAAGATAGGCTTTTTGAAAATATACAATCAGAGGAGATCAGAGAAAAAAGTTTTAAAAAATGAAGCATGTCTACAGGATCAAGAAAATAGCCTGAAAAGGACAAATCTAAGAATGACTGGCCATAAAGAAGAAGAAGAAAAAGAAATAAGGGTGGAAAGTTTATTCGAAGGGAAAATAAGAGAGAACATCCTAAACTTGGAGAAAGAGAACAACATTCAAGTACAAGAAGGTTATAGAGCACCAAGCAGATATAACCCAAATAAGATGACTTTAAGACAGTTAATAATCAAACCCAAAGGTCTAAAGAAAATATCTTAAAAGGAACAGGAGAAAAGAAAAACAAATTACACACAATACGGCTCCAATACATCTGACCACAGAATGCTCAGTAAAAACCAAGAGTGGTATAACATATTTAAAGTGCTGAAGGAAAAGACTTGTATTTTAGAATAACATATCCAGCAAAATAATTATTCAATATGAAGGAGAAATACTTTCCTAGACAAATAAAAGCTGAGGGATTTCATTAACAACAAAACTGTCCTACAATGACAAAGAAAGGAAGTTCTTCAATTCTGAAACAACGCAACATTAATAAGAAGTCATCAGAAGGTTCAAAATACACTGGTAATAGCAACTACACAGAAAAATATGGAATATCATAATGCTGTAATTGTGGTGTGTAAACTACCAATATTTTGAGTAGAAAGGGTAAAAGATAAGAATTCGACCAAACATTTAAAGAACTAATACCAATCCTACTTGAACTATTTCAAAAAAGAAAGGAGGAAAGAATAGTTCCAAATTCATTCTATGAGTCTGGTATTGCCCCGATATCAAAACCATACAAAGATACATCAAAAAAGAAAACTGCAGGCCAATATCCCTGATGAACATTGATGAAAAAAATTCTCATCAAAATACTAGTAAACTGAATTCAACACATTTAAAAGATCTCACATCATGACCAAGTGGGATTTATCCCAGGCATGCAAGGATGGTTTAATATATGCAAATCAATCAATGTGATACATCATATTAACAGAATAAAGGACAAAAATAATATGCTCATTTCAATTAATACTGAAGAAGCATTTGACAAAGTTCAACATCCTGGCTGGGAGCGGTGGCTCATACCTGTAATCCCAGCACTTTGGGAGGTCAAAGCGGGTGGATCACCTGAGGTCAGGAATTCAAGACCAGCCTGAGCAACATGGTGAAACCCTATCTCTACTAAAACTACAAAATTAGCTGGGTATGGTGACACATGCCTGTAACCCCAGCTACTTCGAAGGCTAAGGCAGGAGAATCACTTGAACCCAGGAGGTGTATGTTGCAGTGAGCCGAGAT